TATCTAAGTAAAAGTTTAAATTCATATGGAATTTCTGTAGTATCATAAATTGTCGAGCATCGGTCAATCCAAGATGAAATCTCTGCTGCGTGCTGTAATGTGATTATCGAAGATGATGGTGTAACAATAGATGCTTTTCGAAGAGGAAGTTGCACCATTGCTTTTTTACGAGGAGGTAAAACTAAAGATGAAATAGGCATATTTGGAGCTATCAATTTTGACATAATATCATCCCACATATTCTCTTCAAGAATATTCCGATAAGGTTTAATCTTCTTCAAGATATCTTCACCCGAAATTTGAAAGTATCTCATGTGAGGAAGACAGTTTTGAAGAGTAGTTTTTAAAGACTTAAAATTATCATCAGTCCAATCTTTAAGATTAGGCGGTAAATTTGGAGTTTTGGCTTTCCCCCATAGAATAACCTTATCCCAAATTTCTGATTCCTCCATTTGTAAATCATCGTTTTTTAAAAGTGTAATGAATGCATTTTCTTGAAGAATGGTAAAATCATCAGAGTCGAAAATCATTCGCGAATGTTTTGCAGCAATAATGTCATTACAGAATTTCTGTAAGTCAAAGTTTTCATTCTGAAAGCTTATTTGGTAGACACGAGAAAAATTTAAGTGAAGCCAAGATGAATTGCTATCAATAAGTATATGTTGAAAGTAGTCAACTAATTCTGGGAACATGAATTCGTTAATTGTAATCAATAGATTAAATATAGCTGAAGCTTCAAAATTTTCTAAAGAAATTACGCCACTGTAAATGTATCTACAATAAAATTTATTTTACTTAGTTTTTGTGTATTCCTAATTAATATCAATAAAAATTAAACTTACTTAATTATGATATTAAATGTTTCAGCAGAAACATGAGGTAATTTAATTATAATATTATTTTTCCTGGTCGTGTTTTCTAATTTTTGACGAAACCATGGTGAACTTTGGTATAATATTGCTGAATGTGCTTTAAAAAGGTGAATATTCGGCTGTTCTCCAACTTCAACTATCACATCATATCCATATTCATTTTCAAGAAGTTGAGTAAAGTCCTGTGAAAGTTTCTTAAAAAATTCTGTTGCCATTTTACAGTATACCTATGATAATTTGAAAGAGTGCACTTTGTATGTACGGTGCAGGAAATTTAAACCCTTCAATGTCTCTATATAGGATAAATGTCTAAATAGGATAATGCATCAGCTGAATATTGAAAATGAATTTCTTAAATTGTCAATCTCAATAAAGAAGGGTCTAGAATCTCAATCTCTTTGCATAGAAATAATAAGCCAAAAATACTATACACTTAACGACATATTGTAAATGAGCCGCTACTGAATTTAGCATATTTATTCCATATAAAATGTTTGTTTTTAGGCTAACTGTGGCGTATGTACGTACGTATGTATTTCTTACATAGTTGTACATAACTACCAGGTCAAATAGGTCATTTAATTCAAAAAAAAGCCAAAAAAGAAAAGATCATACAATTACTTTTGGGCTCATTTTCTGCATAAATTTAAAATCAGACCTTTTTATGTAGCTCAAAGACTCTTCATAGTATTCATACGAATAGATGACTTTAAAATTTTTTGAACAACTTTCTCAAGATTTTACTCATCTTTTAGAAAGCGAATATGGTTTTAATGTGGTGATTGAAGTTGGTAAACAACCGAATACCCAACTTTTTAAAGCACATCTAGTAATCTTATACCAACGTTCATTATACTTTCGCCAAAAAGTTACAAATGCAATTAAGAAAAATAATATCATTGAAATTAAGTTACCTCATATTTCTGTCGAAATATTTAAAAATATTATTAAGTAAGTTATAGTATAATACTATAATTTCAAATATTTATTATAAAACATTAATTCATAATCTTATTATATAGATATATCTATGGAGGTGTAGTTTCTTTAGAAAAATTTGAAGGTTCAAATATTTTTGATCTCTTAGTCGCTGCAAATGAACTTGAGATTATAGAATTAGCTGAATCACTTCAGTCTCACCTTATCAATAATAATTCATCTTGGCTTCGTTTGAATTTTTCTCGTGTTTATCATATAAGCTTTCTTGGTGAAAATTTTAAGTCTTTACAGCAATTTTGCAATGATATAATTGTAAAATATCCAAGCATAATTTTTAGCTTTGATGATTTTACTACTCTTCACGAGAATGCTTTGATTACTCTTTTAAAAAACGATAGTTTACAAATTGAGGAATCGGAAATTTGGGTTAAAGTTATCTTATGGGGAAAGGCAAATACTTCAAATTTACCACCTAATCTTAAAGATTGGACTAATGATAACTTTAAGTCTTTAAAAGCTACTCTTCAACACTGTCTTCCTCATATTAGATACTTTCAAATTCCTGGTAAAGATGTACTGAAGAGAATTAAACCCTATAGAAGAATTCTTGAAGATAACTTGTGGGATGACATTATGTCAAGATTTGCAGATCCAGATAAGCCTATCACTTTTCCCATTTTACCTCCTCGTAAAAAAGTAACTGTACAACTTCCTTCCCGAAAAGCTTCGGTTATTACGCTATCATCTTCAATGATCACATTACAGCATGCAGCAGAGATTTCATCATGGATTGATCGACGTTCGACAATTTATGATACTTCAGAAATTCCATATGAATTTAAACTTTTACTTAGATGTAGTAGGGATGGATTCTCAGGGGAAGTATTTCACAGGCTATGTGATAACATACCTGGTACTGTTGTTGTTTTAAAGATTAAAGATACAAATGAAATACTTGGTGGTTATAATCCTCTTATCTGGAAAGTCGGTAAGAATGGTGCGGAATATGCAACAACAGCTGATAGCTTTATTTTTTCTTTAAAAAGTGGGAACTCAAATGAATCTATTATAAGTCGTGTAACAAACACATCAAGTGCAATTTATTACCGTCTAATATCGCATGGTCCATGGTTTGGTGAGTATGGCCTTGGAATGGGAGATAGTTCACCTAACTATTGGCATTATCATAACGCTTCATATGATAAATCTATCAGAGGTAAAGAAGAATGGTTTTTTGTAGATGAATATGAAGTATTTCAAATTTGTAAAAATTTATAACAGCTTTTCTGCTAATTAAAGCTATTACATTAGTAGCATATATAATTTTTGATTAGTTGGGTAAACATTTCTCTTGATAATAAATTACTAATACCTATATTTTAAACATTTAATACCAACAAAAAATATTCTTTTATAATTTTAGAGAAACTTAAATTCAAACAGCAATTCATGAAATGCTGTACTTTTAATTTTTAAATATTTGTCTCGGTTCGTAAAATAATATATTACAATATTATCAAAATATTACATATGTAAAATAATAAGAGACTGTTTGATCTATCTCCGGCCAGAGTTTCAAGTTCGTTTGACAGAAAAGAACATCGAAAGACACATCATGCCACAATTTTGTGCACTATTTGTCAAATGTGAAAATTGATGTGGGAGCTGAAGCCAAATCTGCTGAAACTGAAAATTTAAAATTCAATTTAGATTTATAAAGCCTACTAAACCATACTTATACACCTTTATTAACAACCACAACTCTAAGTTTTAATTCAACTATTGCAAAAAAAAAAAAAAATTTGCTCCCCAAAAACTTTAAAACTTTCATAATAAAATAGGTCAAATTTTAGATTCACCCATAATTAATTTCGTTAGCTATGAAAGACAGTTACGCAATCCGAAACAATTAATTGTAAAAGAAGTAATCTTGATTCTTATAGTTAATGGATTTTACGAATTTTCATTAATATCAGTAACAATCATAGGAGTATATTACATGCAAAAAAGAAACAACTACATTTATAATGATGTTATTTTCCAAATCTCACAGAAACCATCATAGCAATGTTAAAAAATCGGAAACTTTTAGACACCAGGTATACCAATAAAAAAATAAAAAGGCAACTATTTAGTTGAAAAGTTAATTACTGTGAATATGATAACAAATCAAGATGCAAAAATAAAAATCAATGAAATTGCCATCAAGGAAAACATCAAAATAACATCAACAGCAGTCGTGTCATGGATCAGAATTTTACTGGATTTTAAAGCTAAGGATGCTAATTTTACATGTTTGATTACTTGAATAATTAGTTAATTTAATTTGATATAAAGTTTGTTTAAAAGTATATTATAAAATAATAGTACAATACTTTACTGGAATACAATCACCATTTAATTGTATTTCTTTAATTGGCTTTATGAAAAGAACAATAGTTGATTAAGGAAATTATTAATTGTTTAGCATATAAGTATCACATACTTTATCTTAAACATATGAATAGTTACACTTGGGTGTTTAGATTACATGAGAACACGCGATTTTTTTATATGTTTATAATGGAATTTATTATAAAATCAAACTTAATTAGATGTAAGTGTTATGTTGAACAAAGAATCAGTATAATGAAAAATAATAAAAATATTTAATATCCAACTTTTTTTATTTAACAGGAAAATATAAAGTATGTTAAATTTTACAAATTTGAAATACTTCATATCATGTTCATATTGATCCGAATGATGCCACCTTTTAGTATCATCATTACCTCCAAAGGAATAAGCGCCAAACCACGACCACCTGATTTGTTACTATAAAGAATTGCCTTTGATGTATTTTTTACACAACTAAGGATAGATTGATTCAGGTTTCCATTTTTAAAGATAAAATAAAGCTATCATTGGTTTCAGCAAATTTCCAATTATCAGCTTTCCAGATAAGAGGATTATAACCACCAAGTATTTCATTCGTATTATTAATCTTTACAATAATCATAGTACCGGATATATTGTCACATATCTTGTGAAATATCTCGCCTGTGAACCCATCTCTACTGACTCTAAGTAAAAGTTTAAATTCATATAGAATTTCTGTAGTATCATAAATTGTCGAGCATCGGTCAATCCAAGATGAAATCTCTGCTGCGTGCTGTAATGTGATTATCGAAGATGATGGTGTAACAATAGATGCTTTTCGAAGAGGAAGTTGCACCATTGCTTTTTTACGAGGAGGTAAAACTAAAGATGAAATAGGCATATTTGGAGCTATCAATTTTGACATAATGTCATCCCACATATTCTTTTCAAGAATATTATGATAAAGTTTAATCTTCTTTAAGACATCTTCACCAGGAATATGAAAGTATCTGATGTGAGGAAGACAATGTTGAAGAGTAGTTTTTAAAGAATTAAAATTATCATCAGTCCAATCTTTAAGATTAGGTGGTAAATTTGGAGTTTTGGCTTTTCCCCATAAAATAACCTTATCCCAAATTTCTGATTCTTCCATTTGTAAATCATCATTCTTTAAAAGCGCAATGAATGCATTTTCTTGAAGAATGGTAAAATCATCAGAGTCGAAAATCATTCTCGGATGTCTTGCAATAATGTCATTGCAGAATTTCTGTAAGTCTTTAAAGTTTTCATTCTGATAGCTTATTTGGTAGACACGAGAAAATTTTAAGCGAAGCCAAGATGAATTGCTATCAATAAGTATATGTTGAAAGTGGTCAACTAATTCTGGAAACATGAATTCGTTAATAGCAATCAATAGATTAAAGATAGCTGAAGCTTCAAAATTTTCTATCGAAATTGTGCCACTGTAAGTAAAATTTATTTTTCTTAGTTTGTGTATTTCTAATTATTAACAAATAAACATTAAAACTTACTTAATTATGATATTAAATGTTTCTGCAATGAGGTAATTTAATTATAAGAACATTATTCTTTTTATTCGCGTTTTCTAATTTTTGACGAAGGCATAGTGAACGTTGGAATAATATTGCTGAATGTGCTGTAAAAAGGTGAATATTTGGTTGTTCTCCAACTTCAACTATCACATCATAGCCATATTCACTTTCAAGCAATTGAGTAAAATCATGTGAAAGTTTCTTAAAAAATTCTGTCGCCATTTTACAGTACTGCTATGATAATTTAGAAGAGAACACTCTGTACGTACGTACGTACATATGTTTCGGATACTTCTTATGTATATAGTTGATAAATGGCGTACATAACTATCAAGCCAAATAGATCATTTAATTCAAATAAAGAAATAAATAGGCCAAAAAAGAAAAGATCATATAATTATTTTTGGGCTCATTTTCTGCATAAATTTGATCTGATCGTTTATCGTAACTCAAAAATTCTACATAGTATACTTACGAATTTACTGAACCCGTATTTGCCAGATGACTTTAAAATTTTTTGAACAACTTTCTCAAGATTTTACTCAACTTTTAGAAAGCGAATATGGGTATAATGTGATAATTGAAGTTGGTAAACAACCGAATATCCAACATTTTAAATTGCATTCGATAATCTTATATCAACGTTCATTATACTTTCGCCAAAAATTTAAAAATGCGTTTAAGAAAAATAATATTATTAAAATCATGTTACCTCATATTCCTGTCGAAATATTTAAAAATATTGTTAAGTAAGTTATAATATAATGCTATAATTTTCATATATTTATTATAGAACATTAATTCGTATTCTTATTATATAGATATATCTATGGAGGTGTAATTTCTTTAGAAAATTTTGAAGTTTTAGATATATTTGATTTCTTAGTCGCTGCAAATGAACTTGACCTTATAGAATTAGTTGAATCCCTTCAGTTTCACCTTATCAATAATAATTCATCTTGGCTTCGTTTGAATTTTTCTCATGTTTATCAAATAAGCTTTCTTGGTGAAAATCTTAAGTCTTTACAGCAATTTTGCAATGATATAATTGTAAAATACCCAAACATACTTTTTAACTCTGATGATTTTACTATTATTCATGAGAATACTTTGATTACTCTCTTAAAAAACGATAGTTTACAAGTTGAGGAATCGGAAATTTGGGATAAAGTTATCTTATGGGGAAAGGCAAATACACCAAATTTGCCACTTAATCTTAAAGATTGGACTAATGATAATTTTAAGTCTTTAAAAGCTACTCTTCGACAATGTCTTCCTCATATAAGATACTTTCAAATTCCTGGCAAAGATGTATTGGAGAGAGTTAAACCCTATCGAAGTATTCTTGAGGATAACTTGTGGGATGCCATTATGTCAAGATTTGCAGATCCAGATGTGTCTATCTCTTTTCCCATTTTACCTTCTCGTAAAAAAGTAACTGTACAACTTTCTTCTCGAAAAGATTGGGTTATTACACCATCATCTTCAATAATCACATTACAGCATGCAGCAGAGATTTCATCATGGATTGATCGATGCTCAACAATTTATGATATTACAAAAATTCCATATGAATTTAAACTTTTACTTAGAGGCAGTAGGGATGGATTCACGGGTGAAGCATTTCATAGGTTATGTGATAATATACCTGGTACTGTGGTTGTTATAAAGATTAACAATACGAATGAAATACTTGGTGGATATAATCCTCTTATCTGGAAAGTTGGTAATAATTATGCAACAACAGATGATAGCTTTGTTTTTTCTTTAAAAAATGGGAGCTTGAATCATTCTATCCTTAGTCGTGTAAAAAATACATCAAAAGCAATTTTTTATACTATCATATCATATGGTCCATGGTTTAGTAATGACCTTGGAATGGGAGATTATTATGACTCTAAAAAATGGTATTGTCGAAAGGATTCATATGATAATTCTATTAGAAATGCAAATAGATGGTTTACTGTAGATGAATATGAAGTATTCCAAATTGTAAAAATATATAAAAACTTTTCTGCTAATTAGAGCCATTACATTATTAGCATATAAAATAAAAATTGTTCAATATACTTTTGATTAGTTGAATATGTAGTAAACATTCCTCGATAATAAATTACTAACACTTAAATTTTAAGCATTCAATACTTACAATAAATATTCAATACTAATTTCAAAACTTAAATTCAAGCAATGATTTATGAAAAATTATATATGATTCATATTAAATTACTGTGCGTTTGAAAACAATTTAGTCATCAAATATTTCGCCTTTGCCATGTTTTTATATGAGCTTCACAAACAGCTGCACTGTTAAATATATTTTTATATAATGAATTCAAATAATTTCATCAATAAATTTAACAGCGCAAATAATCTATTGTAAAATATTGGAGATTCCGGTAATTAAAAAAAAAATTCTGTCATAACATTTAGTAATTGGAAATTTTCCGTTATTTATACTATTTATAAAATAATTAAATATTATTAAAATATTCTATATTTAAAAATAATAAAAGACTGTTTGATATATTTCTAGCTAGAGGTTCCAAATTTATTTAGTAGAAAGATCACAATGAAAAAAATCAATACACATCATGTTACAATTTTATGCAATATTCGTCAACTGTAAAAATTGATGTGGAGTAAAGCTGAAATCTACTAAAACTAAAATTTAAGGGCTCTACTTAGATTTATAAAACTTACTAAACTCCCCTTATACACATTCACAACTATAAATTTTAATCGAACTATTGCAAAAATATTTATATATATAATAAATAAAAAATATTTACCTCAAAAGCTTTAAACTTTTCATAATAAAATATATCAATTTTCAGATTCAGCCACGATAAATAATTTAATTAATCATGAAAAACAATTACTACAAACTGGAACGATTATTTATTAAAAAAAGTAATTTATATGCTTATAGGTAATGAAATTTAAGGGTTCCTGAACACGAATTTCCATTAATATCAGTAACGAAGTATTATTGTAATTTCTTAGCAGTATATTACGTGCAAAATAAGAAACAGTTACATTTATAATGATGTTATTTCCCAAATCTCACAGAAATTATCATAACTACGTTACAAAATCCGAAACTTTTAGATACTATGTATTTTATGTCAGAGAGAAGTACCAATAAAAAAATAAAAGGACAAATGATTATGTTGAAAAAGTGAATATGATAACAAAAGCAAGATACGAAAATAAAGATCAATGAAATTACTGTCAAGAGATGAAAATTCCAATCTCAAACATGGAATTCAGGCAAACTATCAAAATAACATCAGCAACAGTCGTATCATGGATCTGAATTTTGCTGAATTGTTTAAAAACCTAAAGCTAAGGATGTTGATTTTACATGTTTGATTACTTGGATAATTATTAATTTTAACTTGAAATTGGAGTTTGTTTGAAAAGCAAATTTCAAAATATTAATACAAACCTTTGCTGGAATACAATCACCACTTAATCGTATGTCTTTAATTGTCTTGTGAGACCGAAAACGTGACCTGGAGCAGTTACGTGCCTCGTGATTTCGGGTAATCCAAATTTAGGGGGATCGCTAAAGCCTTGTACGTACGTACCTACGTAATTTTTGAAGTTTTAATTGTAATTAGGGTTAGCGTTAGTTTAGCGTTAGGGTACGAGTAGATTTGTAGGTAAAATAGCCTCCCCCGACATTTTTTATTAATGCATCAAGACAGATTTTGACCGCCGTTTTTTCTTTTTGTCCGTGTAAACAAATTTAATGATTTTGATTGGTTGATCTATCATATAAAAGCACGTGAGTACAAGGCTTATTTATTATCATTACAAATCTTTAAAATTCAATAACTTTTGATCTACCTAACCAATTTGGATGATTTAATTACCGAAATAATCCTTGTCTTTAGATAATTCTAATGAATTCAGAATCACCTGACCCTGATCACGTGACCAAAAGGCTGACAAGTTTTATTTTTTCTTATTGCTTTAACGGGCAGCCACTTATTTGTGCGAGTAATACAAACTTCTAAAAAGGAAATGGCCAATCAGAGAACAGAAATTGGGGTTTTCCGGATCAGTCCGACATAGAATCCGAACACGTGCGAAAGAAGAAAAAAAGAAAAGAAAGCGAAAATACTCAGAAACTAGTTTTTAAATCGACCTTGGTAAATTAATAAAAAATAACGGGAATGAAATTTTACATATAAAAACTCTAACTTATTGCTAAAGCTCACAACCCTAACGTCCTAATCCTAAACTTCTATTTTTACACACTTAGTTTATTTACAAAATTCGATTTCCTTTTTTGGTTTGTGTTACTCGCAAAAATAAGTAAATCGCTTTAAAAACTCCCAAATTTAGTTTCCGATCGGTTCGATCGATAATCCCGATCTAAGCGATTGCAGGGATCTGCAATAAGCCTAATTCCGGTGATATAGAGAATCCTAATAATACTGGCTATAAGGCAAATTCGGGTTTTATTAATGATTTTAAAGATCTAAATGATCCTGCGAATGTAAATAGATGGATTAAACATTATAAATAAAGGCCTATTGGCCCTAATAACACCCGATTTACCTAATAATAAACACCTAAGTCACATAATAAACTACATACATTCGTTATTAACCACTCGTCCAAATCTAACACGAAATCTTCGGTTACCCTACCTAACTTTCGACCATGCGACAGACTCGCCGATTATAGGGTCTGACAGTCTTATGAAAATAATTATAAACTGTTTAGCATATAAGTATCACATACTTTATCTTAAACATATGAATAGTCACTCTTGGGTGTTTAGATTACACGAAGTAAGATATACTATTTTGACATAAACGATTTGAACTTTGAGTCTGTCCTAGTTAACTATTAGTCGCACAAATGTGCTTTCAATAATTTGTCATGTGATATTAGTGTATTATTTTATTTCCTGCTTCATTGAACATGAAGATTCGAAAACACGATTTTTTATATTGTTTATAATGAATGTGAACATAAAATCAATTTTATTAATATATCGATAAATTGAAAAAAACAATAAAAAATATTTAATATACAATTATTTATTTAACAAGGAAATATAAAGTATGTTAAATTTTACAAATTTGAAATACTTCATATTCATCTATGGAAAACCAACCATTTACACACCAACTTTTAGTATTTTTATTACTTACAAACGAACCATTGCCAAAACATGGATCACATAATATGTTTCTATAATAAATTGCGTTTGATCTATTTTTTACATGACTAAGGATAGATCGATTCAGGTTTCCATTTTTTAAAGAGAAAATAAAGCTATCATTAGTTTCAGCCCCGTCCAATTTCCGACTTTCCAGATAAAAGGATTATAACCACCAAATATTTCATTCGTATTATTAATCTTTACAATAATCACAGTACCGGGTATATTATCACATATCGTGTGAAATATTTCGCCTGTGAACCCATCTTTACTGCATCTAAGTAGAAGTTTAAATCATAAGGAATTTCTGTAGTATCATAAATTTTTGAACATCGGTCAATCCAAGATGAAATCTCTGCTACGTGCTGTAATTAAATTATTTAATATAATGACGTAATAATAGATGCTTTGAAAACTAAAGAAGAAATAGGAATATTTGGAGCTATCAATTTTGGCATAATGTCATCCCAATATTCTCTTCAAGAACATTCCAATAAGGTTTAATCTTTTTTAAGACATCTTCACCAGGAATTTGAAAGTATCTGACGTGAGGAAGACAAGACTTAAAATTATCATCAGTCCAATCTTTAATATTAGGTGGTAAATTTAGAATTTTGGCTTTTCCCCACAATTCCTCCATTTGTAAATCATTGTTCTTTAAAAGTTTAATTAATGCATTTTCTTGAAGAATGGTAAAATCATCAGAGTCGAAAATCATTCTCGAATGTTTGCAGCAATAATGTCATTACAGAATTTCTGTAAGTCCTTAAAGTTTCATTCTGAAAGCTTATTTTGTAGACACGAGAAAAATTTAAATGAAGCCAAGATGAATTGTTATCAATAAATATATGTTGAAGGTGTTCAATTAATTCTGGGAACATGAATTCGTTAATTGTAATCAATAGATTAAATATAGCAGATGCTTCAGAATTTTCTAACAAAATTATGCCACTTTAAATGTATCTGCAATAAAATTTATAATGCTTAGTTGTATTTCTAGTTAATAACAACAAATATTGAAACTTACTTAATTGTGATATTAAATGTTTCAGCAGAAACATGAGCTAATTTAATTATATTATTATTATTTTTAATATTCGTGTTTTCTAATTTTTGACGAAAGCATGGTAAACGTTGAAATAAGATTGCTGAATGTGCTTTAAAAGGTGAATATTCGGTTGTTTTCCAACTTCAACCATCACATCATAGCTATATTCATTTCAGAAAGTTAAGTAAAATCTTGCGAAAGATTCTGTCGTCATTTTACAGTACTGCTATGATAATTGAGAAGAGTGTACTTTATACATACGTACGTACATATGTATTTCTTATGTAGTTGTCAAATGGCGTACATAACTAGTCATTTAATTCAAAAAAAGAAATAAATAAGCAAAAAAAGAAAAGATCATACAATTATTTTGGGCTCATTTTCCGCATAAATTTAAAATCTGACCATTTATGTAGCTCAAAGACTCTATATTGTATACATACGAATTCACTGAAGCCGTATTTGCAAGATGACTTTGAAATTTTTTGAACAACTTTCTCAAGATTTTACTCAGCTTTTAGAAAGCGAATATGCTTATAATGTAGCAATTGAAGTTGGGGAACGACCGAATACCCAACTTTTTAAAGCACATTTAGTAATTTTATACCAACGTTCATTATACTTTCGACAAAAATTTACAAATGCAGTTAAGAAAAACAATATTATTGAAATTAAGTTACCTAATATTTCTGTCGAAATATTTAAAATTATTATTAAGTAAGTTATAGTATAATACTATAAGTTTCAAATATTTATTATGAAACATTAATTCATAATTTTATTATAGATATATCTATGGAGGTGTAGTTTCTTTAGAAAATTTTGAGGTTTCAAATATTTTTGATCTCTTAGTTTCTGCAAATGAACTTGAGCTTATAGAATTAGCTGAATCCCTTCAATCTTACCTTATTGGTAATAATTCATCTTGGCTTCGTTTGAATTTTTCTCGTGTTTATCAAATAAGCTTTCTTGGTGAAAATCTTAAATCTTTACAGCAATTTTGCAATGATATAATTGTAAAATATCCAAGCATAATTTTTAACTCTGATGATTTTACTACTATTCATGAGAATGCTTTGATTACTCTTTTAAAAAACGATAGTTTACAAATTGAGGAATCGGAAATTTGGGATAAGGTGATTCTATGGGGAAAAGCCAAAACTCCAAATTTACCACCTAATCTTAAAGATTGGACTAATGATAATTTTAAATCTTTAAAAGCTACTCTTCATCAATGTCTTCCTCATATTAGATACTTTCAAATTCCTGGCAAAGATGTATTGAAGAGAATTAAACCCTATCGAAGAATTCTTGAAGATAACCTGTGGGATGACATTATGTCAAGATTTGCAGATCCAGATGTGTCTATCACTTTTCCCATTTTACCTCCTCGTAAAAAGGTAACTGTACAACTTCCTTCTCGAAAAGATTCGGTTATTACACCATCATCCTCAATTATCACATCACAGCATGCAGCAGAGATTTCATCATGGATTGATCGATGCTCAACAATTTATGTTATCGCAAAAATTCCATATGAATTTAAACTTTTACTTAGAGGCAATAGGGATGGATTCACGGGTGAAGCATTTCATAGGTTATGTGATAATATACCTGGTACTGTGGTTGTTATAAAGATTA